GAATCCGATGCCAAACTGGCTTGTCGGTCCTGGAACTAGTCGGGATGTGTTCACCACATCAGATGCACTTCCTGGTCACATTCGTCCAGACAAAGTTAATCTACACACCTCTTCCAATAACCACTTTTACTAACTCATATGCGTAGGCAAAATAACTCAATGGCTGGAAGGAATTTTTACCAGATACCACAGCTGATTAGTTTGCTGGATCTTTGCATAGATAGGGCTTCAGATTCATAATGACCTTGCATGATGACGACTGACCGTGGGCAACCATTCAAATTTGCAACCATCAATAAGCCTTCGGGTTCATTGGGATGCAAGTGCGTCTGAACCACGGCATGTCACCCATCAACTAATAGATCAGCAGAGTTTTCACCAGCGTAAATCTTCCTTATAGGTTATTTAAAATAAAGAACAGACAAATCCTTCCCTTTAGCTATTCTCAGCATCCACCCCACCCTCCGAGCACACGTACAATACACCAAGACAGAAAGTGTAAGCGCGCCGATGTGACGTAATGCCGATTGATTTGAAGAATGAGATAAGTATCTGTGGTGTCTTTCTTTCGTCACCGAAAAATACATCTTAGTATGTTGTGCTAAAACAGATTAAGCGAATAGACTCCCACTCCGTAAGAGAGTGCCATGGGTGTTTCAGGTTTTGTTTCAAAAGGTGTACATGCTACCGGGCTCTGGCGCTACTTATCCACTTTTTTGTGGTTAACACGCAGGCCCTTAGAGCCCATATTTCAGGTGTACTAGCTAGATGAGTTCCATTGATACTCTTAATACTTATTCATTACAGTAGACTCAGTGGTCTGAGGAACCTTGCTGAGGGGTGTACTTTACAGTGTTATTATTCATTTGGGTGTTTCTACTGGTAATGTAATTGTAATCGGTTACGTCTCACCTGTATATCACCATTCTAACGTACACACTTCTCCCACTTGAATCTTAATGTTTTTCTTTGCCATTGTATTGCGTCGCACTGTTGACACTAATGTGATGTTTTACTACTGCTCAGGTAGACTCAAGTTCGCGTATGGAATGACTGCTTGTTCTTACTGCCTGCTCCAGTTGTGAATGTGTTCATTTGCCTTCAGAGGACAGAACCTTATTGGGAATATTCTTGTTAATTGTCGGGTATTTGATAGTTGTGTTTGGTTAAGAGCTTCTAATGTAGTCCTGTTTATTACCCCGTGCTGAGAATGTCTTGAGGCTGGCACACAATATCTGTCTTCACATTGTCGGATATCATGTTTTGCCAAGTGCTGCTTATCATGGCATTCGCAACTAAACACTTTAAAAGCTTTTATCATAGTTTACTTTTTATCCTGACTGTCCTTCAGTTGCTGAGTAGATGATCAAGGCAATGACGCCATTCTAGAGGCTACGGTATCGACGTTCACGGATAGTATGAAGTATACTAACGCAAGATCTAACACCCACAACTTCTCAAAGTATTCGTTCCTCGTAGACCAAAGGCAAAGCAAAAGACAATATCTGATCGTCCAAATTACGAAATATATTTCTGGATCAAATTGGAGTGCAAGATGATTGCTTAGCTGGCTAAGGATCGTGCATGAACGTGACACGATGGAGTACCAAAGTGCGTGGATGCTTGACCGGAAGCCTTCAGATAAACAAGTGGATTTAAACAGTGAGGGTCAGCATCCAATGTTCAAAGATGAATTTCGGGGAATTATTTACCGCTGCATGTTTGTTACTTGTAAACTTGTGGTGGCGTTAAGGTGTGAGGACGTCCTACTTGGATTTCAGCCAAGTGGGTAATGTAGATCTTCAGACGATATATATTATCCAGCTGCAAATTATCTGAAGAAGCAGGAATGTTTAACTGTTTTTTACTACTGTACTAGTTGTTTGGAAACAGCTTCTTGGTCGCTGTGATTACTTTTTGGGTTTTTCAGCCCTTTGATCAGATCTACATGAACTGCTTTATATGGTCTCTTGTTTCGCTTCACAACTGAAATATTTGTTTACATTATAAGCGGGTAGTAGTTGGTCTATTTTGGCGGGACAAAATCGCTGTGTTCGGGGAGATCTATACTGTTGTGACTAATTCTTTGTTTATAGGATGTCCATCCCTTCCCTTGCACCGGAATTTGTATGACTGCCTTTATGCTTCCTGAATTGTTTTCATGGACCGATTACGAAACCAGAGATCGCCCCTATTACGTACTCTTAAGTAAAGTGTGAACCTTCAATCAATTCCAGTGACAATCACTAATTGTAAATGGCTATACATAGATTGTTTTAAAAACCAATGCTAAAGAGCAAGACGCATCCGGATACCAGGTAAACAGGCGACAGTGCAGACATCCATCATAGTAGCCCCACGGTACTATCACACCGTGCAAGGATGTAACCTTTCGCAAGCCAATCTTGAGGCCCTTTCATTTTAGCGTGTTTTCACTGGTAGAATGAAGGTGGTCGGCTATGACTCGAACTTTCTCAGGTAGTTTATTTTGCAGTGTGAGTCTAGAGGAGGGATGAAATCATATCAGGAATTAATTTTGGCTGCTCTAGACATGTCTTCTCAACTATTTTAAGTAGCTCAAGTATCTACCGTGAAATTTATGACACTAGGCGGGAAAACACCTCGCTACAGCTTTTATCCTCACTCTATTACACCATATACTACAAATCAAATCTGATCATACCAATTCCCCGAAGATAAGTCTGGTGAATGAGGGAACGAACTAGACGAAAGATCAAGAAGCATTACCTGAATGCCAAACAGCAGGCCTGCAGAAACATATGATAATGAATGTTGGCCTGCGTGACGGAGGAAAGAAATTAAGACAGAGTAATGGCATATATAGAACTTCCACAGTTTTAAAAAACATCTCATGTCCGGAAATAGCGAAAATTCACCACAAATTCAGATTTAAAACTCGGCATATTCCCATTTAGACTTGGTGATAAGCTTCTTTAGTGCTCAAGATAATGGGATGAGAAGCTACACACGATTATTTGATACTTAAAAAAACTTATTGTGGTGAACGAAATCTTCTTGTAATTAAACTTTATACGAGTTTGACCACGGACTGATATCAGTGATAGAACCATTGCAAACCAGGGAGTACTTGACAGCAGTTTCATCCCAGTTTCGGAATCACCAGCAGTAGACACCCACTGGGGTCCGAACTCGAAGGATTTTTGTCATCGCTAGGAACAAAGCTATTGCAGAAATCCGCCAATCAAGGATGCATTTCGAAGCACATATGACTCAAAATGCAACGTCACAACCTAAGAAAATTTCCTCGTAAATGAACTTCAAGAATAAGACATACGATGGCGTCCCAAACCTGACTATTTACAACGAAACAATCGAAGGGGATCAAGAAAAAGAAGAGGCAGTGTCAGACTACTTCTCCATAGTCATCACATAGCAGTCATCACTCGCCATAGGATCAATCCTGGCTGCATCAGAGGAACACGGGATAGATTCCGTTGACGTCGAACAAGACATCGTGCTCAACTGCCGAAAGAAGCTAGATGGGTCCTGATAATCTTCATCCAAGGCTTCCCAAGGAGCTATCAGCTCACACAGCCGCCCCACTGATCATGATCTTCAAGCTATCTGTCCTAAATGGAATGTTACGCCGTGACTGGAAAGTCGCCACTATAACCCACATACACAAGGGAGGATCAAGACAATTTCCCTAAAACTAATGGCAAATTATTGTCACCAGCATCTTAATCAAGATATTGGAAAAATTCATTAATTAGGCTATCATTACATATCCGGAAAACAACAATTTGTTGTCCAGGGCACAACATGGATTCCGGGGAAACCTCTCATGCACATCAAAACTTCCTGCGGCAAGAACAGGCTTGGTCAAGCCAGGGGATAACAAAGGAATAGTTGACGTCGTCTTCATAAACTTCAGCAAAGCCTTCGACAAAGAGCCTCACAAAAGAATACTCAAGAAAATAGAAAGTCTTAGAATCAAAGGCGGCTTTCGAAACTGGATAAGGAAATTCTTCATAGGTGAGATACAGAGGTTTAGCATAAAAATCTCCCAGTGGACATCAGCACTTAGTGAGGTTCCATGAGGCACTGCACTTGTGCCCCTCTTAGTTATTCTGTACATCAGTGAGTTACCTGTGCCCGGTGATTCCCCTATGGTCCTATATGCAGATGATCTGAAAATTTGGAGGAAGCTGAAGGTCGATAACGATACACTCACGTTGCAGAGAGACATCACTAAGTTTATACAGTTATCTAGAGAATGGATGCTCCCGATCAACGTAGCGAAACGAGTAAGCGTGAGAACTGGACACGTAAGAGTCAGTCTGTACGAACTATAGGAAATAATAATCCTATCAGTTCAGACTCATTTGGACTTAGGTGTAATATCAACTGATGACTTAAAAACTACAGCACACTTTCTCGCGGTGGCTGCACGTAGTTTCAGATCCTCATGGACAATTCGCAGAACCTTTACCACAATCACCAGAGATATGTTGAACTCCGGTGAGATTAGAAAACTCTATCCAGGCAGCCATTGTCTCAAATGGGATTCAAGTATTCTAGAATGGGTTAAAAGGAAGGCAATACGTATGATTCTCGGCATGACTAACTTACCATACAAGGAAAGACTAAACAGTTTACATCTCTTCTCCCTGTTAGACCGTAGGTAGAGAGGAGATCTCATTACAATGTTTAAAGTTTAAAATAATAACTACGGACCGAATCTATTTTCTCTTTCCCTTGCCACCAGGTCGGAGCACATAGCAAGAAAGTTCGAAAGCCTAGGAGAAACTATATTGCCGTGGACTATATACTCACACAGTGAGTCATCAACCCCTGGAACCGACTCCCAGAAGGAATGGTGACAGTGCCCTCAACTGACTCGTTAAAGAAGGGCTAGAACAGACATAGAAATGTACCAGAAAATGATATATGTAGACTTAAAGCCTTATATTCCTGATCTGCAAATCCGAATCTGAATTGTTTCTTTTCCTATTCCAAGTTGTGCATACACGCGGGCTTACTACTTACGCGCTCATTCCAATAAACAGTATTCATACACTGTAAATTTATGTAGAATTCACAGACATTTTAGAATTTTTCTTCGAAATTTGTGGATTAATGTACGAAATAAATGCGAAAACTGCATATAATACATTAGGACTGGTATTCTGCGGCTTGCAACTAACTTTCCTGTATTCCTTGTTACGTGACTTTTAATTATTCGATTAAGTATCGCTTAAAATTTCCCGAAATAATTACGGAATTATGAGCAGTAAACTCATTGATGTTGATGTGAATCTGCTTGATTCAACCACACGGAGCTTCCATCTTCCCGTAAGTTATTTAGGATCTATTAATTGGCGTGTTAGTTTATTATCGTTACATGATTACTAATTTTTTTTCTGCTGGACCGAGCAGATGAATTTATACCCTGTGCTTTATGAGCCACATGACATTTCTGATAAACTCCTTTGATTTTGCTTAGTTTCATGTAAATTCAACAAATTGAAGTTCATTTGACTCATTTGTTAGCACGCAGAATGCAGTCTAGCCATACTGACAGGGTTTTAATTTTATTCTTGCTTTATACTGAACAGTAAGTCTTTGTATATAGTCTTCATGTTAAGGCTTAATAGGAAAGTGTCTTAATACATCACTACAGAAAAAAACACTGAGAGTTCTTCCACGCTATAAGTCCTAGCTAACTACTATACTTTTGACGGACTGAAGTTTATTACATAACCTGTTTGACAATGAATATCTTGAAATGTCCTCAGAATACAAATAGGGCACACTTTACTCATGAAGAAAGTAATATGTATACCATATATTTCATTTTCGTTTCATACATTAGTGATGTGTTTCAGACTTCTGAACTTGTGCCAGAATAGTAAGTGTCTGAGGTACTTTCAGCCAATATAGTCAAAGCACTGTGCGCTTCTCTACGAAAATTTTCAGAACTCCTATCTTCGATAGTTCTCAATTCAAGTAGTTCTAATTCTCATAGAACATAGACATAGTATAACATCTCATACCCTTCTCCAACAAGTGTAACATACCGGGTAATATAAATCACAGTAAATCCCAACCCCGTTTAAGTTCATATCTTGTTCTCTGAACAGATCTTTGGAATAAACCCTATGCATTAGCTTCTGTTTAGGAGTGTTTTTGGTTAGGGTGAAACCAGTGTACCTGAAAGGCAGTTTCGTGTCTTTATCCAATGCTAACATGTTTGGTTAAGACGATGCATCATTTACAAACAAATTGAGCATCCCATACTACATTACTTTATACATCATGTTTGTTTCAGATTCAGAAGCCTGTTGTAGCCTATATTAATCCTTGCGATATATATCTCTACAGACATCTAATTTCTCTTTGAAAGGGCTGACCGATGGAGCTGCTACCACTGAATCAGGTAAGGAGTTACAGTCGTTGACCAATCTGTGAGAAAATCTAAATTCCACACGTATTTTATTCGACCACGGTTCGAGCATCTTCTTATGCTGAACTCGTAAATGTATCTTAGAGGGAGAGAAAAGATTTGAAATGTTAATCTCTAGGTCATCCTTACAAACACTGTATGCCAAAATTAAGTCGCCTCTCCTCCTTCAATATGATAATCGGACGAGATTTAAATGCCTCATCCTCTTATCATAAGGAAGGTGTGAGTTACAACCAACTAATTTGATTCCTACTCTCTTCACTCTTTCTTGAAGCAGGGAATCACTACTTGTATGCAGTGTTTTAGGTGAGGTCTGTCATATGTTGCATAGAGTACTTGGAACATACACTCGTCCAATTGTTTGAAAGCCCTTCGAAGTGCCCGTAGCACTCAAAAAGCCTTAGCTGGAGCTCCATTACAATTTGCCATTGTTTTTAAGTCATGGCTTACAATAATTCCTAAATCCTTTTATCTCTTAACATCTGGTAGTTGTGTGTCCCCCAGGGAGTACGATGTGTAAGACCTTTGACCTAGGTGCATCAACCCTTTTTGAATTAATTCCAGAGGTTAGCCCATTTAGCTAATTTATCTAGATCGTTTTGCATTACCAACCTATCATCTTGATTGTTTACAGTTTTCCATGTCTTAATATCGTCCGCAAATAATAAAGAAGATGAGGTGAGAATTTTTGGCAGTTCATTTAGGTATAATAGGAATAGTAGGGGGCCAAGTACAGTCCCCTGAGGTATTCCACTTAGTACTACTTTTCTTTCCGACAGTACACCATTTACCCTTACTTTCTGCCTTTTATCCATCAGGTAGTCGCTAAACAACTCACATAGGTGTTGGTTTAATCCAAAACGCTTAAGTTTACTAAGAAGACCTAAATGGGATACATGCAGGTCAGACTTACAGGCCAGTAGTTAGATACTAACTTCCTGTTCTCCTCTTTGAAGATGGGGCTTATAAAAGCATCTTTCCAGTCCATGGGTAGCTTAGTCTGGATCAGAGACATTTGAAAAATCACCGAAAGTGGAATGTACATTGTATCCTCCAAGGAGATTAGCTGTCTAGAGTGAAATCCATCGGGTTCAGGTGATTTACTTGGCTTCATTTTAGACAGTAGTTTAGGAACCATTGCATCCTCTACCACAATTGAGGGCATTTTAGTGGCCATAGCAGTGATATCGCTATACCTCTAAGTGGTACGAGTAGACGATAAGACATCGCAAAAGTATTCTGAGAGCTTTCCAGCTTTTGTTTCGATTGACTTGGCCACTTCTCCGATATTGCTTATGAGTGACGTATACCAATGCTAGTTTTAGTCCTATGTTTGATATATGAGTACAGTCTTTTTGGATAATGCACACAATCAAGCACTAACTCTGTCTTATACTCTATATGACTTTTGTCAATCATGTGCTTACAGAGGTTTCGAACTTTGAGGTATTCCATCCGAAACTCATCCCTCCCAGTCACAGTAAACCGGTCCCATAAATTCTTTCATTTTCTAAATAACCCCCTTATTTCATTACTAATCAAAGGTGGTTTATGCGATAGTTTTTGAGGCGTAGATCAAGGTACAAAAGGTGCATTGACGCAATCTCGTGTGTTAGTAAATCCCATCCAAGCTTCCTCGACAGTCGGGTGTGTGTATCAACATACCAGTCAGCTAGAGTTGCTGCATTTCGGATTGCGGGTATATTTTCTTTCCAAATGTTTGGACGAGCAGCTGTTGACCTATATATGACAGCGTGAATTCTAAAGGTAAAAGTGATAACTATATGGTCACCACTGCCTAGCTGCACCAGGCACCTAATGTCACCGATATCCTCTTTCTGGTGTGTTAGCACCAAGTCTAGAGGAAACGGATCAAGTTCAGGGTTGTTTCGTGTTGTTCCATCTGTATACTGCACAAGTGCGCATTCAGGCACTGTCAGCATGAGTTACCTGTCGAGTGTACAGGGTAGCTGATGTTAGTTCCTCCCAATTAATATGTAGGGCATCAAAGTCACCTGCTATTAGACACCTATTTCTACTATTCCACGTCCTGAGGTCACTTAGTACGAAATCGCCAGCTTGGCTGGCAGGACTTCTATAAATAACCCCACCTGTTACAGTGCCCTTGTTCAAGTTAATGATCCAGTTTGCGGCTTCACCAGTGCCGCTGTCGTGAGGTTTACACAACATTGATCTTATTTCTATATCATCCAGGAAGAATAGGGCAATCCCCTCCACTTAAGGACTACTTACTCTGTCTGCTCTAAAGCAGATATACCCAGATGTGAGTGGAGTTAAGTATACACCCACTAAAAACCATGTTTCAGTGTTAGAAATCACATCAGGTTGTAGTCCTTTAGATAACACTCCTAATTCAAGGAGTTTATTCATAAGACTACAGACGTTTATACAGCACACTGAAACATCTACGTTTCCACTGGGCTCATGAAGAGAGGTCTGAGCAACATACGTTTTTGAGACTTCACCAACCAAAAACCCAACAGTTTAAGGTCTTTTTCACCTTTTTCTGGTTGGGCCTTTAATTGAGCCACGGCTTTTCTTCTCTTAATTCTATCTTCCAGAGGTCAGTCGGGCCTTATTCTCATCTTTTTGTTCCCGACCTTAAAGGTATTGCTGAGAATAATGCTTTTCTCCATCTCCTTCCCCAAAACTTTCCGTTGCATTGGCATTTCGTTTACCGATTCTGATAACCTTTCTTAAGTGTACTCCATTTGTTTTATCTCAGGAAGTACTTCACGAATGATGGAGCTAACTACCTCGAGATTATCGGTATATCGGGTAGCTGGATATACTTTCTTTTATTCCTCTAAGTCTCAAATTACGGTACTGTAATTTGAGTCCGGAGGTTTCGCAATCGCATTGGTGTTTGCGGCCGTCGAGACCTTATCACTAATAATAGAGAAGATTTGTAGCTCAGGTGGATGATTTGCAATTAAACTAACCAGCTCAGAGAACACAACTAATTGCGAACCTTATCACTAAGCCCAGTTTTTCTCTTTCACACAGTCATTCAGCTTCCTGCTTTTGGCACTAACCAATGGGAATTAGTTACTACCACTTTGCTATCACCACAGCTGGAAGCCATGCATTCACCAGACACGCAACGCTTTGTCGTCTTAATATCACCTAGTGGTCTTCCAAGGTTGGCACTACTTGCCCTCTTAGATTTTTGGGACGTTTTGCGTGCAGTTGCAAACTTTTGGTCACATTTTACTTCTTTTGTGTCTATCGCTTCGGGATGTAGTTCTGTCTTAGTTTTATAACTCAGTCCAGAATCATCATTCCTGGCATCGATTCTCGGTGCTGGCGTTTTTCCCTCATCTGCGACTTTTGTCAATTTTTTGGACATAAGAAATTTTACCGCCTCTTGGATGAGGACTTCCAACGGGCTGCTACAAAATTTACACACCTACAGAGACGATGGCTTGATGCATTGCCTATAGGCTGATGGTGATAAGCCAGTGAAAACTTTATGAAACCATAGGTAGCAGTTATCACACTGCATCCCATCATCCACCGAAAAGTGGCAGTCCGGTCGTCCACATCTATTTGTCAGACTCATGCTGGTATAAGTTATTTAAATTTCACAGACAAATATGCGCATATATATATCTAAAAACCACACAAATTTAATAATATTTCAACTAATTAAACTAGTTAAAGTTAACCAAAAAGCTTCTGATGTGATTTACACAACAGCAGCAGAAGTTACTTCACAATGTAGAAACGCCACTCTCCTTTTCGGAGCGCGCGCGAATGCCTTAGTGAAATCTAATGAACTTTCCCAGGAAAACTTGCCAAATGTTTGCCACTGAATATAAATCAGCGCCATAGGTACTACTAAGCAACATTACACGAAGGGTAAGGTCATTAGGTCAGTAAGGTACCCCATACGCTATTCACTTGTTATTCATCGCTGTAGAAAAATATTGAATAACAGTCTGCTGTATGTGCCACCATTATCCCGATATTTTCTGTACAAATTTTCAGTATTTGTATATATATATATTATTGAATAAATTCCCAATCAAACAAAAATTAAGTATAAATTTGTTTTTGAATGAACCCGATATCTATGGTCGGCCTGCAATATTTGGGCTACCGATATCCATGCTGAAAATGCCATACTTGTACTGAAAATACGGTGTGGCATCAAGCTGTAACCAAAATAAAAAAAAATAAAATAAAATTTTCTGCTTACAATTCAAGAATACTATAATCACAGTATCTATTGTGGAGATCAGGAAAATTTGATTCTCGAAGAATTTGAGCTCACTGAGTAATATTTATGCTGTCTCAAAACATCTAATAGATTAGACTGTGTCACTATCAAGTAACATCCTTATAGTTCGACCTAAAGTATTTTTAAAATTCAAATTGGAATCATTTGGTTGAAATAAGCCAAGGGGATTTTTGTCGGAAGTCCTGAGGAACTGTGGCTTACAGACCTTAAGGACCATCCGTAAATAATTTGCCACATATCTCAGCTGTACTTCATATACCGACGTTATAATATCCATAAAATATTGACAGATTGTGCTTCTGAATTTGTAGTTCATAAAAGTACACCTACTTGATGAGTTGTTTTATTTTGCTTATGGTGACATATTAGTCATTGAAAACGACAGCAGAAATTTCGTCTCCAAGTTTATGGTTAGATATTAACGCTGCTTTTCTCTTAGGCTCTTTTCAAAAGAGGTTATGGAGCCAACATCAAAATATTGTGAAAGAATTAGTGATGTAGACAGATGTTTTGTAGATTGAATTCCTCTGTTTTTAAAATTAAAAGTTGTGTAAATTGTTGCCACCAAGGGCTATTGAGTATTTTGCATGCCATATTAGGAAACATGAGAACTTTGTGCACTTTTTTGTTATTAGTGTCTAAAGGATTGTGTTCAGTATTTAAAATACAGTTTCCTCTGCAGGCTCACCTATTCGTAATGTCTACTGTATGTGCAAAAAACGTAATCCGAACCTAGTTGCTATTTTAAGATTGATTACTTTTCCCGAGTCATTCTTAAATATGAACGCATATCTATGGGCAGTAGGAATTTTATACGTAGTAATTTAACCTTCTTAGTACATGAACTGTATGCATTCATACTAAGTAAGGCATATTATCCTAATTCACGCTGAGGCACAACATTTTGCTTCACTGTAATGAGAGTTTGTATTATACTGCTTTTAAACACATTCACTTTCACTGAGCGTGTAATGGATTTCTTTCATTTATTTTGAGGCTGTCTCATTATTTCTAGCTAAAACAGAGATTATGTATATACGAGCACATTAATTTTGTGAAGTCTGAGAAATTACTAGCCAATAAATTCAGGATATTTGTAATGATAACCAAATGTGGTGAATTTTCACATTAGAATGTTCGTGCAAGCTAAAATTAATACTTATGAAGTTGACTAGCTTAAGAGAAAGAGGTAAAGAGTGATATAACTTTAAGAAGAAATGATATCAGCAAGAATTTTGTGAAATATTCTGAAGGGAAGGGGGCTATATGGGTCAAAGTTTTGTAGAATGGTTCTTTCTGGTAAGAAATTATCTTTAAAACGTCAAGCTCATTATCATATAATAGGTCGTAAAGTGGAGGAATTTTTGATAGACAGTCTACTTCATCATCTTCTCAAAACAATCGAACATTACTTTCTCCATACACGTTTTACTCAAAACTCTTATGCAGTCAAGCAACTGCAGTGTCCCAGGGATAGCTGAACACTTCACATAAATGAAACTATAGAATTTGTATAAACCATAGTAGTCACTTTGTCTGAGTGCAGAAATATTCTTGATCTTTAAAGTGCTTCCCTGTGGAATAATGCGGGTATTAATGAAGATGTTCTTTACAGTACTTCTCGTTTGAAAGTGAAAACATGAATATAGCAGATCATTCGCACATAAGAGTTCGAAAATATACAGGGGAATATTAGTAGTCTAAGTAAACATTTCTAGTGCTTGAGCTGCGGTAAGAGCTTCGCAATTAAATCGTCCAGCCCCGAGGGCAACTTAATAAGAACCACCTGAAGTTGTTTTTCATTGTACTGAAAAATGTAACGATTCATATACACGTAGATTTCCCAGTTAAATTTTCCTGTTTCTGGCGTAAAATTTAAATGAAAAACTAATTTCATATTAAAATGATTCATACCTATTAGTTCCGTAAACATGATACAAATGAAACTGATGTTTTTAACTTTTATACGCCTGTTAGTTATATCCTACATACAAGAACAGTGAATTTTCATGATAACAATATTAAAGCGCTAAGTAATCAAAGAATCTCTGTGTATTAATCATCAACTGTAAGATTTGTCAGTTACAGACCAGAACCGGTCTCTTTTAGAATAATAAACTGTTAAGGCAACCCTAATAAAGTGCGCTTTAGTGAACTTAAAAGTGGAAGTATGCGCCAGTCATTTTTTAATTTTTTATTATAGCTTGATTCCACCCCGTATTTTTTGTTCAAGCATGAAATTTTCAGTATGTGATATCGGTAGCTCAAATTTTGCAGGCCGACCATTGATATCAGGTGTGCATCTTCAAGGGATCGAACCCCGGACCATGTACGTGGTCGGCGAGAGTCCTAACCGCTGTGCCACCGACTCACAATGACACTTATTGACCAATTTAATTTGAATAACTCTTAATAAAAGTTTGAGTGTAGTTCAAAGCAAGCGAAAAATCTGACATCCAAGGTAGATTCAGAGTCTAGGTAGCTTTTACAATAACGAATTCCCACTGAGAGATCAAAAGTAAGTGACTGAGCAGTAACTAAATCATTACTCACTTTAATTACAAAAGTATTTTACTAAAGTGGTGAGTAGTGTAACAATGTGAACATTTTGTGCACTAATGTATATGCTAATTTTGAGATAGGTTTATCAGTCGAATTTTCCAAACGAGTGTAAGAACACTGTCCTGCGTGGTTACGGTGAGGTAGAAGTGGACATCTGGTCAACACTGATCATCCTATCTCCACAACCTCTTCATTTAAAGTTATCCATAAGGAGAAAAATAACTTGCCAAAATTACTAAGTATTCAGCTTATCTGTATTGTTAAAGCTTTAGTCATCAACATAAAGAAGTCGAAATTCTTTATACAGAAGGAATATGTCTGACCACTCTTTCCTCCGTCGTCTTAATCCATATATGTTAAAATACTATAGTCCCTATGTCCACACTGATCTTATTTACTCCTCATTGTGTTTAATTAATTTGTATATCCATCCCTTTTTATTTCTAGTGGTATTATTGTTTCCACTTTGGACATTTTTTGGTATAATCTCATTTGTTACCCCTTATTTATTTAGTTCAATATAGTTTTTTTTGTAACATTATTGTATCGAAATTCTCATCTTCTCATTCCATGGTTTGTTTGCCTACTAGTCCTATCAATTCCACACCCTTTCTAAGATTTTTATGTTCCATGAGCTTTTTCATATATTTCATAACTTATTTTCTCACCTTATTTTTAACTATGATCATCGTCACACCATCATTTTAAAAATCGTGTATAGACCGATGTAAAGTTTGATAATAAATTTATTGAAAAGAGTCTATTCGCCGAATCACTAGTTTTTATTTTCGACATGTCCTAATGAGGACTTTCCATGAATGTAAAATTTGAAATAGTTGTAGGCAGAGAGGCTATTACTGATGAAATTGAAGTGGATAACGGCTAAAGATTAAATAAAAAAAATTGGGTCGTTTTAGACTCCCATTCAGGGATCTTAAGCTTGCTGGCCTAAATCTCAACTGGGCTAGATGGAGACTGTTGCGCTGGAACTTGCTGCAACCCGAATTTTATTTTAACCTTCTGTGCATCACCCACTGCAACCACTAGATCTGTCACTGAAGTATCTGTTTTACCTACAGGACCATGTCTAATCATCTGACATCTAGCCATTCTGCACCATAGTAGGAATTATATGTCTAGTAACCTTTACTATTGTTTTATCATATTCAAACCACCACTGGTTCGCCTCTATACTCTATATTGCTAAGATTGGCTGGTAACTTAAATTATAATGAAGAGATACTATGAAAATAGTCTAAGAGCTATGAAAATAACTACTCTAGTAAAATTCTTACACGTCAGAGACAGGGGAGTAATTACGAATAACTTGTCCTTTTGATAATACGTATACAACAAATACATGATAAATTTTTTAACCTGATGATTGCTTACTTTAAGATACATAGAAATGGTGCATTCCCAATGCCTTATAAAACAAGTTTCTGCTGTGGTTGCGTTTCCTGAGCTGAGTGATTTAACTTTTTTTATTTATTTTATTATAGCTTGATTCCACACAGTATTCTGGTACAAGTATGAAATTTTCAGCATGTGATATCGGTAGCCCAAATTTAGCAGGCCGACCATAGATATCAGGTGTGCGTCGGCGAGGGATCGAACCTCGGATCATGTGCATGGTCGGCGAGAGTCCTAACCGCTGTCCCTGTAGAAAAAATCTTCAGTGCAAGCTTTAATATTAAATCATCCAGCTCAGAAAACGCAGCCACATCTGAACCACTCACCTGATCTACAAATCTTCTCGATTATATCATAATGCAAAGTACACAATTAATGTAATAATAATAACTATCATTAGATGCATATCGGTTTGCTTACACACTAAAGAAATATTTCTATTGGTTTATATCAAATTAGCAAGTATTTTATGATTAATTTTTCAGCTTCGTGCAATCGGACATGAACTGTACACAATGGTGGTTGAACATCTTCAACTGGTCGAATATGATTATTTCGACTTAGAATATATTAATAAGGATGGTCTTCATGTAAGTCATTTTTACCCATAACACTATTTATTTCCAATACTTGATACTTGTTTGTATGTAACCTTCCATCATAGTTCAGGATAAGAAAAAGGGCTAATTGAGTCTTTTCACAGACAATTAATTTGCCAAAATAATGTCATTAGATGTATCATCGTTCGTCACAAACGTGGTCAAGGGTTCGATTTCCAGCCCATGCATACCCAGACTCCGCTTAGCCTGTAGTAATCCCGGGTAAGAGAGAAGGTTTTGCGTATGGCTGCCGAACTTGTGCTGAAAAACAAAAAACACTACCGCTGCTGAAAATTCAGAGCATAGACTTGAAGTCTTATGTCCTACTCAGAAAGCAAAGGAGTGAGAAAAATTGTTGGAAAGTATTAAATGTGTTAGAAGAATACCTGTTACAGAAGTAAACATTACGTGATAAAGTATATGGCAATTTTTTTTCAAAACGTGGAATGAACCCATTAGATTATGTGAAAAACAAAAAGACAGTTAGGAAGAAGAAAAATCTTTATTCTCAGCAAATCCATCAACTAGACTGTACATTCGTGAATATATAACAAAGGGGTGAGAAAGTTCCAGAACTATTTCCGGTCTGAGGCCAAAATATAACAAATACCAAGAAGTTAAATAATAAATAATAGGGATTGAAAACATAACAGTAGGAAAAATAAACAGGAAGTTCGGATCAAAGTCAAAGTTGGACAATAATTTTTTAACGGGAAAGTGAACTGTTTATGATGGCCACGGTAGAGACATAGGTTGAAAGTACTTTCTTTTGGATATACATCGTTGGCTGTAAGTTTTGGCCCGCTTACCCTTCAGCTATCCCCAAACATCCTAATCTCACTCGGATCATGTATAAGATTTTGAAGGATTTCTCAAATGGAGTAGTGTATCCTTGTAACGGTGGAAGATGTTGAAATATTTTGCCGATGAACGTCTCTTTATCTACTACAGATAAACTTGTCAGTAGCATACGCCGCACTCGTTCCACCATCACATAGTTTTGAGCGCAGCCACTTCAACCTCCTTGGTCCTGTCCGGCTTCCTTATCCAAATGTATTAATTTCTACAGTTGGCTGAAGTTAACCAATTTTTGTTTATTTCCTCTTTTGATAGTGTAAACGGGATTACGTCTTTTGGTGATAGTGTATGGCCCTTCCTACTTTGGAAGGAGTTCCCATGAAATTGGTTGGCATCTAAGCATGTACTTTCTTTCTCTAGACCTTAATTGATCGCCGACTTCAAAGATTATACATCCCATCTTGTCTCTCTGGTCGGATTTCATCTTCCGTCTATGCTTTACATTCATGACTAACTCTTTCCGTTCCGTTAGCAATCTTGCCATATTCCGCCTTTGGTGAAGTGGCTAGATATGTTGTGTATTTTTAGTCATGGTTTCTTACCATAAATCAGCTAAAAAGGTGGCTTCTTTGTTGTTTCTTGGGTGGTAGCACGATGTGCTAATTGAATCAGTGGAAGCTCTGTCTCCCATTTACCTCCCTTCAAGGCCAGCCATTCCTTCAGTATACAGTTGTTTCCCTCTGTCAATCTATTAGTTTGCGGATGATATGGTGTTGTTCTCATCTTTTTGATACCGATCTGCTGCAAATGGGATGTAACTTCTTCCCTTTAAAAATGGGGCCGTCATCTGTCAGTGTTATCTTTGGTGCACCGTCGTCTGCGACGATGTATCGATCTGCTGCGTCAGTCACGGTTCTCGCGCATTGATCAGGGATAGAGACGGAGTATACTCATTGTGTGGCGTGTTTCGTCATTATGAGGAGGTACTGGCTGCCACTAAATGTCTGTGGAAATGGACCCATCACATCTACGGACCACAAGTCACCTAATGCCGTAACTGGAATTGACTGAAGAGGCTGTCGTATGCACCGATCTCCTTCCATCAATTGGCACTGAGGACATACAGGTACATATTTTGCCAAATCTTTCATACTCAACCAGTATATCCTTTGACTCAAGAGATTGGTTGTTCTGGCTACTTCTGTATGTGTTAGATGGTGTAGAGACTGAGGTGTTACCACCAACCTGCTTCAATTGTTTTCTCCGTAAGCGTTCACTCCAAATCTATCTTTCTGTCAGAGTAGCGCCGTTAGTTCCTTACTCGCCGTACACTGACTTACTTCTATTCCGTTAGTGATCATCTGTATTAATGTATTAAGGGTAGGGTCAAATTTCAGACTACAAATAAGTCGTTATGGGTATTGCTCCAATCCATGCATTCAGTGAGCAGTCTCCAGTAACGTAGCCTCGTCTTCCGATCTGGATAAAGAATCTTCCAAAGAATTTTCCTCGCCAGGAGGGTGTGAGAACCTGAAGTCATACTCCTGCAGGCGCAGCATCCATAGCTACAATTTACCATGTGGATCTCTCGCCGTCATGAGAAATCCTAGTGGCTTGTGAGAAATTTATATATGGAACCGTTGGTCGAGTAAATAAGGTCTCTGTTTGTCTACTGCCCATACTATCGCTAAACATTCTTTCTCTATCGCTGAATATTTCTGCTCTATGTGTGTTATAACACTAATGCCATACTCGACGACTCCTTCACAATATCTCATCACTGCACCTATTCCATAGTCACTCGCATCTGTACACCGCGAAATATTCCTCAGTTACCGGTAGTCTTAACGTCATTTCCTGGTGGTCTGAAAGCCATTTAATGCAGTCGAATATTTTCTGAGGATCTTCCGACCAAACAAACTTCGACTCACCTGATGGCCTGTACAGGAGGGCTGCTATTTCGTTGAAGTTTTTCACCTCCCGGTTCTTCAAGTTTCTGAGTAACAAAGTTATCAGTCTTCTGTTTGTAAACGTTGCACCTGCTAGTCCAAACGGCATACGTTTAAACCGATACTGTTTCTGACCCACGATGAACGCCATCTTATCTCTGTCACTCTGTTTTGTCGGTATCTGCCAATATCCTGACCGGAGGTCAGCACTGTAAACAACTTTGCGCTTTGTAGACGATGCAAGGTCTCCACTACAGTTGGCATGGAACAAAGTCTGAGCTCTGTCATGCTGTTTAGCTGTCGGAAATCAACGCGGAATCTGTACTTCCCATTTGCTTTCTTCACCAGAAGAACTTGAGAGTTATCATCCTGTAACATCTCATTCACTCGTCACGCAACTTCGTCTTCTAAGTGCCATGGGATTTGATGCCTCACTTTATCGCAATAATCGTAGGAGACCCCATCTCCAGTGAACAGATGATCCTATTCTCCAACTAACACTGTCATATTCTGTGCTTGCTATCTAGCTTGTCTCATACATGCTGATAATTCCATACTTTGTAATCACTGCCCTCTTCTTTGTGTAAATTACCACACCAATGTCTTGCAGAAAATTAGCCTCGAGTATTGTTCACCGTGACTCGGTTACATTAATGAAAAGGAACGTTACTTGGTGATCACCAATAAGAACGCCACAGTTTGACATGTTCATAATGTTGAACACATGTCTACCCAACATTTGAACTGTTAATAATCATGGCCTGAAGCTCTGACATAGATTCTCATCTATCGGTGAAATCGCTGCCTCGGTATCTATTAAACATACTGCTTGTCGGCGATTCACTCGCAACTTAGAGTACATGGCCCCCTTCCAATAGCCCCCACTACTGCTAGTATTGTCGGAGAGAAAGAACAAACATTATACTGTCCGAAATCTTTTCTTTCTTATCTTTCTGGGCAGTATCTCCTCCAGTGTCTTGATTTGCCACATTTGAAGCATCAGTAATTCCTGGCATGCATTCGTAGTGCCGCTACTTCGCCTTGCAAATTTTCAACTTTCTGTTCCCATTTGTTCAATTTCGGGGGCCCTGTTTTGGTTATCGCTGTGCTTAACAGTTGTCTCGTCACCTTTGCGAGCTCACTAATGTTCATGAGTTGTGCAGCGTTAACCAGGTGTAGTTGCTGAGAAATGGGGTCTGGAACATTCCCGAGTTATTGACTGTCATATGTGCAAGACTAGATACTGAGAACGGCTCTTATTACCAAGAAGGTACATTTAGCTGTGTGGAATTGTACCGAATTATGTGGGACATTTAAGGTGAGGTATATGAAAAGTTGTAAGAGCAGTAAGCGTTGCAGTCAAAATGAACAAAATAAATGCTAACTTTACAGAATTCCAAACAGTCACAAAGCGAGTTAGTATCACACCTATTTTGGATGAGACTGTACTCTACAGAAACCACTCGACATGGTTACAATTCATATTTCTGTGAAACTATTTTGCGATGGGATTAGTAGAAATTAATTCTTTCTATACAAATTTGGTAGAAATACGCTATCAATAACTTTGAGAAATACATTTGTAGTAGTAGTAGTGTGGTGAGAGCTGTCTACTAGCCAAGTGGTGGACAATAATTGAGGTCAATGTTTATGTATCAAATATTAGTCATGTTGTGGTGAGAGATGGTTGCTGGCCAAATTGGTTGACAGTAATTGAGGTCAAAGGTCAAGGTGGACAGGCGGTTACAGTTAACATATAGATGAACCGACACAGCCACAAGATATGCAAGGTTAACTTTGTGTGAGAAACAACCAATCAACAGACTGTATTTTCTACTAACATTGACCTACAATAATGTACATAAAAATCTATAAATACGTGTTGATTTTTCGTAATAAACGATCTGTTGCCTGGCCCTTGTCTTCTGTTGTTACATTTGGTGTCGCTGCCTACCGACAAATGGAAAGCCTATGCCCTGCAGTTTTTGATGAAGACATATGGATCTTCGGGCAGGACTTTGAGGCTTATTCGCAGTTGAGTGGCGTTCAAGATCTGTCAGCGATGAGGCTGCTACTTGGGACGCTGCTGGGAGGTCGGGAGAAAGCAGCATATGGAAGTGTGAGGCGAAATACCTACGAATGTGTGACAGGGTCAGGCAAACAGTTTCCAAAGTGGGAAGGACCATATATGGTCACGTTGAGACGGGGTTACGCAGACACAATCGCAATGGTAAACACCGTTAAACAAGTGGACATCCGCAAGCGCCGAGATTCCAGACAGCAAGACAACAGAGCAAAGCCCCAAGAACCGAGAAGACCGAGCCGACTTCAGTCCAAACTATTTGACGGGGGGACGAGTGTGGTGAGAGCTGTCTACTAGCCAAGTGGTGGACAATAATTGAGGTCAATGTTTATGTATCAAATATTAGTCATGTTGTGGTGAGAGATGGTTGCTGGCCAAATTGGTTGACAGTAATTGAGGTCAAAGGTCAAGGTGGACAGGCGGTTACAGTTAACATATAGATGAACCGACACAGCCACAAGATATGCAAGGTTAACTTTGTGTGAGAAACAACCAATCAACAGACTGTATTTTCTACTAACATTGACCTACAATAATGTACATAAAAATCTATAAATACGTGTTGATTTTTCGTAATAAACGATCTGTTGCCTGGCCCTTGTCTTCTGTTGTTACAGTAGTAGTAATGTTCCGTAACTTATTTCAGTTAATGTGATTTATTCTTATGTTTATACCCATGACTTATTTTTAGTGTTGGTTGGATCATTCAAAAGCTGTAAACAAACAAGTGAACCTATCGAAAAGATTTCTGTATTCTTTTGTTGTGAAATTTTACACACCTCATCCAAATTTATTAGAGGACGAGTTAACCAGGTAAGTGAATATAAGGTTCACAATTATCTTATTGATAGTTCATTCTTAGGTGAACAGTAAAGAGTAACTTAATTTATGTTCTGGAGTTTTTATTTGTAGATACTAATAACAACTAAAAAATAATGGTAAAAACGTTTCCCAGTCTTATTCCTAATAAGTTAATTACAATATTTGTAATTGATTACCATCCACTCTTCAACGGTATACATCACTTTAGTCAGTTTCCTAATTACCCCTAAACCACTTGATTTCATAAAAACTATTAACACACTAATGATGAAATTGATATAAAAATAACAAAATTCTAGCTTAAAACTGGACTTATGAGGGTTCATCTGAGGCAAATCCAAGGGAAGACACCACTCGAGAACATGGTTTTAAAGTCACCTTAAATTGATGGTTGTCGTAAAATGAGAGTCACTGGAGTTTTGGAGGGGTATATGAGTTTTGATGTACTCACTGTAGCTAAATATAACTCATGAATCCTTTGTCTTAGATTCACAGTACTGAATAACCCAAGATCCTGCGAATCCATATTCAATGTGTAATACGAATAGCACGACAAAGTTACTACAATGATTTTAAGTGATAAGTGAAGTTTAGCTTAAGAATTATTTTTAGCCATTTGGATAATATGTATTTGTAGTTTATAGAGTTAAAGTGCTTCAGTGGTAGAATACACGCCAACCACATGAGTGATCTGGGATTCGTTTCCCAACAGATGCACTCTTAAACCTCGCTTAGCTGGTTGTAGGCTCTGTAAACTCTGAGAACTCAAAGGAATAAAACAATGAGAAAAACGAATGACACAATGGATAAAGAAGTATAAACAGATTAGGGCACTTATGACAATTAAAATGATGGAACTATCTGAAGGTCTGATCATCTTATCCCAAACTACACTCCTTGTGTCTTTTCACTATACAAAATACTACTTTTTTATTTCTCCTCATGAAGTAGAATGACCAATGTGATATTTAGTGTATACACAATTTAAATAAGTTGGAGATTAAATCAGTATGTCTGAGAAGTGACTCAGAAGATTTTGGTTTGATTCAACTCTTACGGACAGTTAAAAAAACTCGTTGCTATTTCAGTGTTCACTCCATTGAGTGTTCTATGTATACACTGAATTATGTTTTGTATTTTTAAAGCAAAACAACTTTTGCACTTTGACTGATTATCTGCTTCTTTCAGATATTTATTTGCTTTACAAATCAAAAATGATCTACGCTCTGGTCGGCTACAATGCAGTGAAAGTACTGCTGCTCTTTTAGCTGCTTTTGTTGTACAAGGTAAGAAACAATTCTAATGCATATATATATTATCACCAATGATATTTTTAATTGTGGTGGACCGGATTATGCGTCAGACTGTGCTTGGGGAGCAAGGATTTAGGATTACGCTGGACCACCGATAAGAAGACTCTAGAAGATGTGGATTTCGCAGGTGATATATGTCTAATGTCATACAAATTTGAAGACTTACAGGCGAAAACCAACCTGGCTGAAGAAGTAGTGCTGTGGAGACAGGACTGCAGGTGAACACAGTGAAGGCGTAGGTGATGAGGACAACCAATAGCCAGCAATAGCAACAACAGTCACCATCAATCACCATAAAAGAGAGATATTTGACAGAGGTGTTACCTCCTTCACTTATCTAGGGAGCACAGTTTCAACCACATGCGGAACAGATGAAGATGTCAAGGCTAACCTAAATCGGAAAGGCGAGATTCACCTTCATGAACCTGAAACCAGTCTGGAAATCATTTGCACTCAGCCAACATGAAGAACAAGATTCGGATTTTCAGCTTCAATGTGAATTCAGTCAGTTCTTCTATGTGGGTGGGAAACTTGCACTGAGTGTCACGAAAAAGATTTCCAACAACCTGTTGCATACTTTCATCAACAGCTGCCTTCGCTGGCTCCTTATTGAAGATCAAATGGCCGGCCAGAAAGAATTAGCAGCAAGAAACCGTGGGAACAAACCAACCAAGAGGCGATGGCTCAAAAAATATGTAGGATAAAATGGGGATGGACTGGCATACATTGAGGAAACCATCGAATGACATCGCGCTTAGTGCAGGTCTTTGCTCGAGTGGAATCCGAATGGGAAGTGACAAGTGGGTCATCAGTGCGAGGGTGACGTGAAAGAGGCCGTGTGGCATGGAGGAGATGAGGGATTATGGTCAATCGTGAACACAGTTAAAAAGGACGGCAGAAAACAGAACAAACTGGAGAAGTGTTTTTGAATCCTCATGTTCCACTCGGAACTCAAGGGAACAATAATAATAGACGGAATGGTCACCGAAATCATCACCAATTTTACACTTGCTGGTACTCACTTTTTCCATACAACTTTTGTGTAATATCCTTATTTGTAAAATTCGTTATTAATAGTTCTACCGTTACGTAGATTCAATATTTCATTGTTGTATGTTTACTGTTTATAAGTAAAACGGTAATAAACATAAGTGCTGAAAATATATTTTTGTAGTTATTACAAAATGAGAACCCTTTCCAACACACTATTTCATTCTGTTATTTCATTCTGTTATTCGTTGAAAGAGAGAAAGTCCATCACGATTTATTTATAAAGATATCCTCTTTTCATTTGCTTAACCTGTCTTTCTTTAAGTCTGAGGAGCTTTTTTGCTTTGCTCATCTCAAAGTGTGTAAGACTGTTTTGATGCAAATTCTCAGTATTTTCGATGAAAGTTCGTTTAATTTTATGAATGTTTTATTTTTTCTGTGTTAAATTAGTTATAAAACTGACATGGATTCAAAGTCACTTTCCCATATTATCTAATAAAGACACTTTTTAACTTGAATCTCCCTATAAAATATAACATGTTGTTAACCTGAATTCCTAGATGAAACTGCAATAAGAAAACCAAAGTTTACTGACAACTCATACGACACTTTTTTTCTTTCTTCAATAAGTGTATAACACCTGTATTTTTACTCAATATCCCTTTTCAGGAGTTGGTTTGTAAGGATTAGATTTGTTTTTTCGAGTTCGAAAACAAACAGGGAGTACTGGACAGCTGTTTCATCCTAGTTTGGGACTCACTGACAATACCACCGACTGGGATTCGAACCCAGGACCTCCCGGTTACAAGGCAAGCTCATATACCATTCAGTCACCGGGACCGGATTCAATGGCCTATGAATTATAACTTCTACCAATTAGTGATTTAGCACGACTAGCACCAACCAATGTCATCGGTGAAAAAGCATCCTCACACTTGACTGGATTTGCCTCACTGACCACGAATTCTCACTAGAACTCCTTTTTTAGATGGAAAACTAAGTATTTTGTTCCTTTGAATAAAATATTTCTAATGTATTTTGAAGATGATGAAGTCATTATCTATGCAGTGAGATGTTTACATTTCGTAAATAAGCTGAACTAAAACTTTTCTGATGGTAATGTGTGGATAATTATTGTTCAGAAAGACACTTACGCAATAATTTTTGTTACCTCTTTTCCGGTTTATTTTAATTACATCTCAAAAATAGATTTAGTGTATTACTCACTTTGTTTGGTATGTGTTTGTTACCAGAGTAGTCCAGTAGTAATCGAATTCCCCGGTTCGTTCACATTTCCTGGTCCTTTTTGCCTCTTTACATATTCAGCTAGGTATTTCATCTTAATGCTACACATAATGTTCACAAATGCTTACTATTAAACTTGATTTTCTAACTGCATTATACTACTGATTTCACAGTTATTAGTAATAACGCTTTATGAGATGAAGCACGTTGACGGTCACGCAAGATACGGTGTGTACATATGCAAGTGTTTATCATGTAACTCCCAAAGTACTTGTTCTACTGAAAGCAAAGAAAAGTCAAAACAACAATTTTATCATCCAAAATACGAGATCAAAAATGTAGAGCGATGATGGATGTTTAACTAACTAGGTTACGTGCACGAATGACCGAATGTAACACAACAGCGTTGCAGCAGCAGGGATGCTTGACCGCGTACCATCAGCTTAACAAGTCAACTTAAACAGTGAAGTTCAGCAACCAATGTCTAATGATGAATACATTATTATTATTATTGTTCCCTTGGGTCCCGAGTGGAACATAGGACTTCAACAACACATCTCCATTTTGTTCTGTTTTCTACCGTCCTCTTTAGCTGGGTTCACGACTGCCTACGATCTCTCATCACCTAAATGTCACCCTGTCAGTGACGACCCACTCGTCGCTTCTTATTTGAATTCCACTCAAGGTTACATGAGACTTGCATACAAAGAACCTGCAAGTCTTCACAACTGCAGCTTATTCATCCAGGGAAATAAATTAAAGATTAATCTCTTCCCACTGAATACAGTTGTAGCATTTAGGTATTTCATAAACAAATGTATTGTTATGAAACAATCAGGCTACCAAAAATATAATAAATGTAGAAATGTAGAAATTTACATAGGGAAACTTGAGGGCTTGACTTACCGCCAAACTATTTCGAAACATATTTAACCTAATGTAATAATAATCTATAATGTATTAAAATTACACTGTAAGTCATTGATTACTTAAATATTTCCCTAAAATAATATTCCTATTTATGTTGGAATGACATTCTATTACTCTTAAATCTATCACATCTATTGATTTTAGCCGACTAATAATAAGAAGTAGAAGGTTTAAGTCAATTTACAGTGAAAATATTATTCCTTTTCTTTTCCTCTATTATACAAAAGCAAGCTGACATTTTCACTTTTTATGTGAAGTGTTCAGTTTAAAAGTTTGTTTATGTCAAGATAAAAGTTGTCTAGAGAAGAAAAATAAGACGAAGAAGGAATACCAGCATTTCATACTTAAACTAATTTACTTCATCAGATAGATAGAAGAAGTGAAGTTGTTTTGTTTGCTTTTTGCTTTGCTTTTTTTGAGTATTAGATTATCAAAGGGAATTTTTTCTTTGTTGAGATTTTACTTCACACTGAATCTTTCAATATGTCAGTAAGATGACAAATATGTATATTCGACCAGGGCTGGTTTTAATTCAGGGAGATAAGCCTTACATAGCCCTATATTCTTTAGAGTGTAATTGTGTGTCAGATGGACAAATAGACAAACTGGTACATAGATAGAAGAATACGAAATATTTCAAACAACATGGTTTCGTGAATGGCATAGAATATAATGGCATACGAGAAAAGCTATAAAGAAGTTAAGATATTTCTAAAAGGCTGTGATCTTATACTACTTATGAAATATAAATCCGCAAAGTTCAATCATTTCGTCATATTTTGTGCAGATTTGTTAGTGTTGTGCTTCTCGACTGTTATAAGCATGATGATTCTGAAGCCGTCTTTGGATGTCCTTCAGACTAAACGATGTCAAGAAATAAGCTTCGTTGAAATATTATGATGTAAACGGGAAAGTTGTATATATATTATTGTTTCCTTTAATTCATAGAGTAATTTAGGGCTTCAGCCGTACGTCTCCGCTGCTTTTGATTTTCTGTCAACGTTTTCACCTAGCTCCACGTCTGCCCACATGCTTTAATTTCCTCTTCGCATCACCTCCAACATGTCACCCTCGCACTGACGACCAACTCGCCACTTCCCTTTCGGGTTCCACTCGAGCAATGGCTTGTCTAGTGATGTCACTTGATGGTTTCCTCAGAGTATGACGAATCCATCTCCATTTCTTCCTGCCTATTTGTTTCACAATCGGTTCCTGGTTGGTTCGCTCCCAGAGATTTCTGTTGCTGATCTTTTCTGTCTGGCCATCTGATCTTGAGTATTGAGCGAAGACAACTGTTAATGAAGGTCTGTAGTTTGTTTGAGATGCTCTTTATGACGCGCCAAGTCTCTGATCCATATAGTAGCCCTGACTTCACATTGGAGTTGAAAATCCGGATCTTACTTTTGATGCTGAGTGTTGTTGACCTCCACACAGACTTGAGAGTAGTGAAAGCTTGTCTTGCTTTTCCGATTCTTGCTTTGATATCCTCGTCAGTTCCGCCTGTAGTTGAAACGATGCTTCCCAGGTAGGTAAAGGAGGTTGTTTCTTTCAGGTTCCTTCCATTTATGCTGATTGTTTTCTGTTGGGGGTGTTGCCCAGGAATCTTCATCACCTCTGTCTTCTCTATGTTCACCTGGGGTCCTATCTTTGATGCTTCTTCTGCCAACTTGTTGCTTTTCGTTTGCATGTCTTCCAGTTTGTGGGAAATCAGACATATATCATCGGCGAAGTCCAGATCCTCCAAGTATTTCGTGTGGGTCCATTTTATGCCTGTTTCCTCACCGCCCGCCAGTCAACCAACCTCAATC